GATCTCGGACGAACTGTCCTATAGTCTATTTGATACAGAAATACAAGAGATGGATATATATACCAATAGTGATCATGCATCAATGATAGCCAGAATCAATCTAGGTCATCTAAATGCTTCTCAAAGTGCAGTGGCATGTAGAAGAAAAGAATATACAAAAACAGTTTTTCTTTGTGAAAAGGCGTCTAAAGAAAATTGGGAAGACTACAGAAAGCAAATAGATAGCTTGTTTAAGAAGAGCACAAAGGTTCAAAATCTCCTAGATATCAAGTCGTCGCAAGAAAGAGAATTTCTAAATTTGGATGAACTTTGGAATGATATAAGCAGTAGTATCCTTGTAGCAGCAAGATGCAACCTTCCAAAAAAAAAATCTGCAACATGGTACAGAACAGAAAGAAAAAGGCCAAAGAGTCTAGATTATCATATACTCTAATGCAACTTGGAAGATGAATTAGTATAGGACATAAGAGTGTCAAACTAGGCCTTATATATGACTATATTGCAGATCTGATATTAGAGCTAAAATTCACAAATCAGCAACACAAGACTAATATCAACATGGCTCTAACATGTTGGTCACATGAACTGATTGACGACTTAAAAGGTTGGTGGAAGATTCTATATGCAAGAAGAGCAGGAGAAATCGAACAGCAACAGAAAAAAGAAATAGATAAAAATATCAAAAGAAGATATCAAATAATTGATAAAAAACAAGGCAAGATGCTTGCGAATATTTTAGAAAAGCTATTTAGAAAGATTTAGATAGACAGACTTCTGGAAGAAAAAGATAATTAAAGAGAACTAATCACTGATTTAGAAGAAGTTCTTAAAAAGACAAGGAAGCATTACCAAAATCAATTTAGGCCTCGTTCTTTTGATCGAGAGCTATGGGAGAGGAATTGGAAAGAAATCTATAAGCTAAAAGAGGAGATACAAGAAGTGTGATATAAGAATCTCGATCAGGATATCTCAGAAGAAGAGTGGGAAAACATGCTTAGAGACTTAAAGAAAAACACTGCCCTTGAAGTTACAGAAATTACTTCTACTTTAATTAAAGCAGCAAGTGTATAAGCACATAGAATTTTTCGAACATTTGCAGAGCATTGCATCCAGACAGACAACATTCCAGTAAAGTGGAAAGTCTCACAAATATATCCAATTCCAAAAGTTGCAGACTGGTGCTACAACTTGAATAACGTTAGATCTATAGCACTTTTAGAAACATTTAGAAAATGTGTAACTAAAATAGTAGCTAGAAGATTATCACAAGTCATGATTGAAAATAATATCTTGAAAGGTCTAAATTTTGCTGAACTGTCTGGGAACTCAACAGAAGAACCAGTCCAGATTTTAAATGCAATAATGGAAGATGCAGTGGACCATAAAAAAGAACTTTGGCTAGTATTTCATGATATGAAGAAAGCTTTTGACTAGGTATCTTTAAAATCATTAAAGCTAGCAATAGGAAGACTTAAAATTCTACAAATAACGATTAGGTTTATTATAAACCTTTTCATAAATAGGCAGTCAAAAATTATTACAGAGTTAGATACAATACAATGTTTCAAAATAAATAATGGAATTGAGCAAGAAGAGGTAATTTTGCCCCTTGTGTAGAGAATTTTTTACGACCCATTGCTTGTGAGCGTTAATGAAGACCTCAAACTAGGATATACCGTAACTCAACAAATTTCTTTTAACTACAGCCTAAATCTAACAATACATAAAGATTGGACTCAAGCAGTTATTGCCTATGCTGATGACACAACGTGGATCACAAAAAACAAAAACCAAATAGAGAAAATAATCCAAATTGCTGAGGAATTCTTCAAGTTCAATGATATACAGATCAATAGAAAGAAATCCAAACTAATTGTTGTCAACTCTGAGGAAAGAAGAAAAGATAGAAAAATTTTTTTTTGGTGATGAATAGCTGTTAGAGGAAGGAAGAAACAAAATCACAAGATTCTTAGGAGTTTGGCTTAACAATAAGTTAGATGAGTCATTGGTTAAGGCAAGAGCAAAGGAGATCATACGTTCAACGGTCCAAATACTAAATCCAAAGAAATTATCAGTTGTGCAAGCATCTTATATAAACAATTTGTGCATAGTTTCAAAACTGTGCTATATGCTACAAGTCTCCAGGTTTATGAAAAAGACGATTGATGATTTACAGACACCAATATTAGTTTTGACAAAACATAGAATGGAGCTAGCAAGAACTATAAACAACAGTACAATTTTGCATAGAAGCATTGGAAGTTGCAACTCACTATGGAATCGACTTTTAACAAAGCAAGTTTTCAGCCTACACTTGCGACTAAATACAGCAGGACCTGAAGAAATATTAACCTCATTAAGACTAAGTCAAGGTATTCAACTGCTGGGCGTAGCTGAAAACACCTGGTTTGAAGGGCTGCCTGAGACCTGTATATGTCTTTGGAAAAACAACTTGGCCTGCTTAACAATGTTGAAGGCCAGAGAGCTAAAGGTTATATTCAAGTTCAACAATGCAGAATTAGAAACAGAGAACCTTAAATTCAGACTAGCATATATTCTAGAAAAGAATTTTACTTTACTAGTGGCAACAATACTCAGGAAACTCAATATAATTTCACTCAAATAACTATTAATACAGTCTGAAGATCACTTAATAACATGGCAGCAACTAAAGATGCTAAGAAATAGGTCAAGTAGTGGAAAAAGTGTGAAATGGTTTCGTATAATCGAAAAAATAGTAATTGAAGATAAAGAGAGCAGACTGGTTAGACCAGAGTATAGACTAGGTGGCTCCAGTACCTGGATGCTGCAGATTACACCAGACCTATTAGAAGAGAACAGAAGGAAAAAAGAGTGGATTTTGGTCAAAGCTAAAGAAATAAAAGAAAACCATTACTTAGAAATCAGACAAACCCTTAACAAACCAGGAAAAAAATACCGTACAGAACACTGAAAAGTAAACAAAGAGCTAGTTACAAGAAATATAAGACTTGAAAGATGCGAAGGTTATGAATTAGATCAAGAGAAAGAAGAAGACTCCTGCAGAAGCCGAATAAGCAAAAGGAAAATTCAAGGGTCAATAACAAAAATTGTGGACAAACAGAAAGGAAAGGCCCTTAAAGTTCATCACAAAATGCTGTTCTCCCCAGTAACTTATGATAAGCTTCAGATTCCATAAATAAGAAAGTATTGCAGGATATCCAGATCTATGATTTAGATATAAAGATCATTAAAAACCAATGAATCAGCCTGGCTTTACAGAATTACCTAATAGAAAAGAACCAAAAACTTCAACGCAGCTTCTTGTCTCGGTTTACTTTCTATACCGATAGTTCTTTAAGAAGAAATGGAAAAATAACTCAAGCAGAGACAGATAAAATGGGAGCAAGCTGGATACTTATAGATGAGGAAAAGGAGGAAATCATTGATGAGAGATACCTCAGAGCAAAAAACTGGTCATCTTCAACTAAGGCAGAGTTATTAGGAATTTGATATGTGCTCTTAGTTACATCAAGAAGAAGGAAAGTAAAAATTTATACAGATAGTGCAGCAGCTTTAGCTAGATTAGAAAGTAGAAATTAGAATAAACCGGCTAGGCAGAGGTTAAGAGTAGGGAATTATGACTTTGTAAAATGTATTATAGATATAGCAAAAATGAAAGAATTACAGCTAGAATTAGAAAAGGTAAAAGGGCATAGTAGAAATAGGTAGAATGATATGGCAGATAAACTGGCAAAAATGAGATCTAGAATAGTAGATAGAAAAAGAATTATAGATAAACCTCCACAAGAATCGAATATTTCTTTGTGCTGAGAAGAAACAATAGTAGAAGCTCCTACAAGAGAATTTTTACAACTAATATTTGAGCTCAAAACAGGAATAGAATGGAAATCCACATCAGCAATTACAAAAGTAGAACCCGATGATGAGAAACAGTGTCAATATTGGTCTATTTTATAGAAAAAGATTAGAAATCAAAATGGAGTTAGATGTATGAGCGCGAGAAAGAATAAATGTTAGGGAGTGCTAGTCAAATGCTTACATGAGAGACTCCCAGTCCTTAAAACCTTGGTGACTAGAAGACTAAACCTACACAATAGCCCAATTTGTAAATTATTTGCAAAAGGAGAAGAAGAAGACCAAGAACATTTAACTTTATGTAAGAAATACGAAATCAAGTGGTTAAAAGCAGAGCAGCTAGCATCGAACTTGGCATGAACAGCTCTCTTAGAAGAAACCCGCAGTCATCTTGTTAAGGCTCAACTTAAAAACTCTTTTTGGGGTTCAATGAAAGAGGAAAAAAATGAGACGAGAGCAGACATTCTTAAAGGACTAATTAAAGATGGAATCGCAAAAAAAATTCTCGAATTAGTGGGATCTCTAAAAGAAGCCAGAAGCTATCTCGACACAGCAGTTAACTCAGCCTGAAATTACTTTTATGAAAACATCTGGAAACAAAGATGTGCATTCCTTAATGATTGAGAAAAGAAAAATGGAATAAACTTGAAAAAGAAGAAAGAAAAGAGACCCAAAGTTGAAAAAACAGCTATTAGCAGAAATAAGTCAAACATAAATCATGGGGAATATAGTTAGAGCCAAGAGCAAACCAAAGGGAAGGTGAAAAAGAAAGAAGAAATCATTAAAGAGAATGAAGCTGACAGAAAAGAAAATACTTGGTTTGCTGCGATTAAAGACTATATTGTAAATAGTGGGAAGCCATTTTGGTATAGCTTCAATGGCTAGCTTGGTGTAGCCTTCCGATATGGGCATTAGCCTTAACCGGTGAGGCAGACCATTCTTGGGTGCCCATAGAGATAGCCGGGGAATGTCAGATCTATAATTTAGATAGTTAAATATATGTATATATATGCTTTGATCTAATAAAGATACTGGTGAGGCTGCCGATAATTAAAAAAAAAAAAAAAAAAAATTCTAAATTGTTTTAATAGAAACGAAATAGGCTTATTTGAAAACCTATTTCGATAGCATGTATAGAACTAATGCACAAAATATCATATGAACTATTATACAAACTATTGAATGAACAATCATCTGAATATAGTGTTTTATATCATTAGTTAAAAAATTAACTAGTTGTTAACTTTCCAACTAGTCGATTTGAAAAAATTTTAAACAACTAATCAATTAATCATTCAACTAGTACAATTCTGAGAATTCTGTCTAATCAGAAAGATCTGAATTAATTTCTTTAATTTGATTGGCTAATTATCTAATGATGTCACATGATATAAACAATCGATTAGTTGCAACTATAGTTGGCAACTAATTGATTGATAAAATATTTACCAACTTGGAACACTATCTGAACAATCATATAAATGATTAGAACAATTATATGAACAATCGTCTAAACAATTATCTAAACAATTACCTGAACATTCGTCGTAGCAATTGTATAAACGATTACACCATCTAAAAAAAACTAACAATTCAAAATTATTATGCAAAACAAAGCTATTTGAACTATTTAAGCCATCTGTATACATAACAACTTTATTAGGCAAATTATTATACATCCTTAAACGTTCTAAAATCTCTAATATTCAACAACCATCAAATATTCAGCCTTTATATTTAGAATTCTCCATGCTATCAAATGAACTATTTGATTGCTTTTCTCTTTACGTTCCTCCAACTTATCAAGATATTATAAACTATAACAACAACAATGCAAATAATAATAATAAGGAAATTCATTATCATTTCTATTATCATTTTTAATACTTTTAATAGTGCAATATAAAATGTAATGAAAATGTTATTTAATGTAATAAAAATGCAAGATTTTTATTAGTTTCATTGCTTTTATTAATGACAATTCAAAAAAACATATTATGGCCATTAATCATATGTATTTATTAATATATTTATTAATATGTTTATTAATAATATATTTATTAATAATATATTTATTAATAATGTATAAGAATACAAAACAACTCTTTCTGATGATTACTTGAACCAAGACTGCACCAAAACAGTTTGAAGATTCAAGGCTCTAAAAAGTCTAAAGATATTTGAGGTTCTTTATTGATACTGTTGTTGATGAAAACTTATATATAAAACACCGAAAAGCAGAGCATATATAGTTGGTTTGTGCTTTGGGTTAAGCTTTTTTTCTTAGTGAACTCTCTCACATATTCGATATCTAAGCCAAAAGGGTTATTTTGATAACAGTAGTGGTGAAAAACTCCCAACTCAAGTGTCTGAAGCTTTTTAGTTCTACAAAGAACAACTGGAAATACTTTCATTGTTTTGAGCTCTCGCAAATACAGTATTTTTTTCTCTTCGATACTTTTGGTCATAAATTTCAACAAAAAGTAGGAAATTTGGCATACCTCCTTCAAAAAATCAGCAATGTTTACTACTTTTATATCAGGAAACTCTGTATAATGACAAACAATACGTATAAAATGGACAGTGCTGGTGAATTTAGTAACTAGATGAGTATTCAGAAGAATACCTTATATGTCGTATTGTTAAGGATATATAAACATGTGATTATTAGATAGAGTACGTGAAGATTTTAAAATTCTTATACTTTCAAAGAGTAAAGCAAAGTGAAGAAAGATATACAGGCATCTTCTAGTCATCTATATATAATTTTTAGCCTCTGGCATAAGTTATAATGCATTTTATTTTATCTTGTCAAGACTCTCGCACTTAATAGTAGATCATGACTCTGTATAATTAAAAGTTTTTACCTGGTTAGCAGATTTTCTTCTTTTTAGCAATAGTTTCTTTTAGGTTTTAGTTTAGTTTTTTTTTATATTTCTTAGTATTAGTATCCATTTTCTTTGATATATTAGTTTTATTTTTTACCTCTTTTTTTATTTTTCATTATTTCTTTTTTTTCTTTTTTTCTTCCCTATGAGAAAGTGTTATCAGTTTAGTGGCATTCTATTATAAAGCAAGAATCTTGACAGGGTGAGCAATAGCCAGCTGAGGAATCTAGAGGAAATAAGTCTGGAGTAAGTTCTAGATCTCTAGAAGAGGTCAAGTATTGCTAGGCGAGTTGCATTTGGTCAAAACACAGCAGTTTAATGATTTGCTTTGACTGCAAGTAGATGTTATAGCATCTGTGAGATTCGTCATAGATAGGTGAGTTTATATTTTGGTTAGAACAGTTATAGATTGAGATTTCTTATACCTATAGGAATAAAAGTCTGTTTCTATAATAAAGTAAACAGGATTACTGAAGGAAAAAAAATAATATATGAGAATATAAAGGATTTTTTCCACCAGTGTATATATAGTACCTATGGGATAAAAAATATATATTTAGCATTAATAATTTTATATAGTTAAAACAAAAATGTGTATTTAGTAAGGTATTGTATTTATAAAGATTGTATTTAGAGAAGTCTAACTATAGTAAAAATTTTCAGTTTTTACTAACCTATATACATACTATTTAAAAACAAAATTATTTATAAAAAGAGAATTGTTAAAGCCAAATTTAAAGCACTCTACTTTGAGCTTATAGTAAAACTATATATAGAAAAAAATTTTGTCTAATTAATTATAAAATTATCTATTAATTAGAATTGAAAGTATGAGATTGAGAAGCATGCTCATAAAGTATACCTCTGAGAGTATACCTATAGTATACTCTTTGATCAAAAGGTATGTCTCTATTATGTGGTATAGAAGCTATTATATAATTAGTCAATTATCAAATTAGCTAATTAGAATTAAAACCTACTATTACTAATTATAATAATATTTAATACTAGGTCTTCTCTTTATCTTCTTATAACTAATGATAGTTTACTTTAAATTGGTTTTTAAATAGAAAATTAAGAGATGATTTGCTATACTTAAGTAATTATACAAGATATAATAAATAGTTTAAATTAATATCATCTTGATATAATCTGTAACTAATCTTATCCTGTATATAGCAAATTCAAAATAAAATAAAATAAAATAAAATAAAAAAAAAAGTAATAAAAAAAAAATATATTTAATATATATAGTATATCTATAGAGGCATGCTCTGAGCATAAAAGGATATGCTTTTTGCAAAAGCATGGCTCTAGAAACATGCTCTAAAAGTTGCTATATCACCTAACTCTACTATTAATAGACATTTTATCTGTCATCTGAAAAGGATCTGCAAATTTTATAAGTAAATTTTATTATTGAGCCAAATGTGAAGATATTATATTTAAAACTTTTTTCTTACCAAATAAATTATTCTTGAGCTTATAATAAAAGTTGTAAAGTTCATCAAAATACATCTAATAGTAGTAAAAATATTAAAATTAGCCTAGTAGTTCTTAAAAAATTTTTAAAAACTATTTTGCTAATATATAAAACTTCATTAAAAAAATTAATTTTTTTTAAAAAAATTTTATATATTAACAACATTTTTTAAAAATTTCTTAAGAACTATTAGACTAATTTTAATATTCTTACTACTATTAGATGCATCTTGATAAGCTTTATAACTTTTATTATAAGCCAAAGAGTAATTTATTTAGCAAAAAAGGTTTTAGATATAATATCTTTATATTTATTAATTAAAGAATTTATATATAATTTATATATAAATCTTTTGTATATCTTATATTATATAGCTCTTCAGATAACTGACAAATCATCTATTAAACAAATTTATTTGAAATTCAGTTTAAGAATAAAAAACAAATAGCTAAAAATTTTAATAAATATAACAGATTAAAATAAAATCAGATTAAAATAAAATGAGAGATAGTGTAAAATAGATAAGCCACCAAAAAATACAAATTTTTGAGACATATTTTTTTAGTATTTTTTTAGAGTTAGAATTAGGGTTTAAAGGCAGGTTTTATAATAAACAAGTATAAGTGAGTTTTAGAAGATCAAATAAAAATACCTTATTTTATTTTAATTTGCTTTATTATGATTTGCAACAATAAATATAGATTTATTACAAAAATATTTTTTAAAAAAAACTTAAAAATATAACTGTTTAAGATATAGTGATTTAATAAAATAGTTAAATTGTTATACTCCCAAGTAGCATATTGGCAGATAGAAGTTCAAAATTTATTAATATAAAATTTCAAATATTCTGTTAGATAATAGCTACTGTCTTTTAATAATCAGTTAAAATAGAATTTTTGTAATTTAGTAGTATCAACAAGATTAGAAGATCATAAGGTATTTGTGCAATATATAAGTTATATAAAAGTATGTAAACTGGTATTGAATAATGCAAATTCAAAATAAGTCTTTGTGATTATATTAATCCAAAGAACCAGAAAGATGAATGCTCACTTAGCAAGACCTGAGTAGAGAAGTAATACGGATTTTTATAATAGCTACTAGAATAGGCTTCACCTGAGGCTGATTAACTAAATGTAACAAAAGCATCTAACAAGTTGTTTTACCAATCAGGCCATTAGCTTGAGATCAATTAGAAGAAAAGAATCAACAAATACTATAGAAATAATATTCTTTCTGAACTATCTAAATTGGTAGTCTAGGGAAACTGACTAGAGGATACTAAAAAGAAAGGTACTAAGTTGTTTTAAAGAGAAGATAACAGAGTTTGGTAAACTCTACAAAGATTAAGTAGATAATAATAGCAGTTTGGCTCATAAGTGCTTATTTTCGAACTTAGTATAAGTTACTAAAGTAAACTAAATAATATAATAATAGTGGATATCAGACTGCTTTAGCAGGTGATAATTTTGAGAATAATTCGATTAACTATACTAGTAGTCTTATAGATAGCTTACAACAATCTTAGAACTTAGACTAACTAATATATCATATATTCTGAGTAAGATTAGATGAATTGGCATAAGAAATTCAGATTAAAAGATTTAAATGAGAAATTCACAGATGGTTCTCAGATACAACTATAGCTAGTAATAAATATAGCAGAGTTCTTAAATAGAAAATGACTAAAGTTATACATTTAACCAAATATACTTTCATCAAAATATACTTGACTAAAGCTTTTTTGAAAAAAGCATCATATAATTCTACAATCTAATAAAAATAAAAAGCCAAAGAGGCTAATCTTGAAAAAATATATATATAACTTTTTACCAATATAATACAGTAAATGTATAAAAAAAGAAGGGTGTGATGATTTAGTGTAGTTGGTAAGTTGTCGCACCCCCAAGCAGCAGAACAAGAGTTCAAATCTCACTGGTGATGAAATTCGAATTTGCAGAAATACGTTATAATAAAACTGTATACTATATTGATCAGATAAGCATCTGTGACCTTGGTCTCACCAACTCACATTGGAAAGTTGTAGAATGTATTGTGATGCATAAGTTACACAAAACTCAAGTGAAACAGCCAAATAAATCCAAGAGATTAGAGGATACAGAAGTCTGTTTGGAAAGTTCTAAATAGAGAGATAGCTAAAGTATGGTGCCGTAAATAGCTAATTACTACAATTATATTTACTATATATATTTTTACAAAAGTTTTTTAAAACCATAATTAGAGTAATATTTATTACATGTAGTAATGTTTACTACATGTAATAATATTTACTATATGTAGTAAATATTATTACATATAAGTAATAAATATTATATGTAGTAAATATTACTACATGTAGTAAATATTACTACATATATATAATAAATATATTATTAGCTACCTATAAAAGATTGTTACGGACACACCAATCAAAAATTTTCAGATTACTAGATTAGATATAATGTGAAATCACACTTTTTAAAAAAACAGTTGATAACTCGAAAGTTTAACTATATAGACACCTTTTGCGCTCTAATTAGAAAACTTTCTTGTGAAATTTTAATATAGAATATGCTCTATTTTAATCTCTACCCTGACCCATTATTAGGTTTCAATACTTTCAAATATTACACATATTAAAGTTGTGAACTTCATAGCCTGAATAGTTTATAAATTTATTACATATTATTGTAATTAAAATTGATTAAACTATTACTATATAAGTATAAAGCAATGTCTATCCTGTGTCTAATTCAAGTATATTCTAAACCTGATCATTTTAAAATAATGCGTATATATAATGTAGCTCGAAATAATTCAAGTTCTTGATCGGGTATTTATTTATTTATTTTTTTATTCATTAGTGCTTTTAGATAATATGCATAAAGTATAATGTTTCACATATAATCCTTCTATAATAATTGATTCAAGATAGGCAAGTGGGAATAAGGAGATTGGTTGTGTAAAGAGATTTTAACTTAAAAATGATCAGTATAATTGTATAAAATATATTAAATGATATCAAAAAATCAAAATACTTGGAAGTATTTAGCTTTGTACTGTATATTTAGAAATCTTAGTTGGATAATATTTGAAAGGGTTGTGATTTTTGTAAGCTGTCCGGACTAGAATATAGGGACAAACTCAAATACAAAATATATAATGGTAGTTCAATAAATTGATACTGAAATTCTTCATAAATTTTTTTTTAAAAAATCTTGTCTGGTAAACTAAATTAAGACTATGATATTTCAAAACATTTATAATACAGGGCACATTATAAAATAATAAAAAATTTGGCTATGAAAATTTTATCATATAATACTTCTGAGATTTTACAAAGTAAATTATTATATAAGTTGTTAATATTTATGACTTCAAAGTTATTATATCAACTGACCAAAGGCCTTTCAACAATAAGCTAACTAACAAAAGATCTTACAATTAGGATTTTTAATAAATTGTGTTCTAAATTCGCTTCAGAAACTTGCAATTATTTTATTAATTCTAATCTGATCTATCTTTATTCATTATTTAATTACATTACTTAAAAAAAATTAAACTAGATGCAAAATCTTATGTAGTAGTTTATTTAAAATAATATATTATATATTATCTTTATCCAACCAGAATTTTTTGTCAGGTAAAAATTTCAGCAACTAAACTATCTACATTGTAGTCATAATTTGGATCTTTCTCAACTATATTCTTAGAACGTGATGTAGCATTATTGTTTCTACCACTTTCTCTAAAAATTTCATGATCTAAATCAAATGTTTCTTCTAAACTCAAAATTTCATCAAGCGATTTAAATTCTACTTCACTATCTCCAACATAATCTTCATCAGAATCAGAATCATTACTATCCAACTCTCCATTTTCATTCGCTACAATGAATATATCTTCTAAAGCAAGTTCATGGTCAATGTAAGAAATTTCTTTTTTGGCATATGTCATATAATATCGATAAATCTTTGCTAGTCCTTCTACTTTTTCAAATACTAAATTATTTCTTTTTTTGTCATAGATCCATCCCAAACTAGAAAAAACTCTTTCACAAGAAGCTGAATATGGTGTAATGATAAGAAGCTTAACTGCTAAAATGAAAAGATGATCATAAACATTTTTAATTGATTTTCACCATGTTTGCGGTATTTGATAATCAGATTCAAATGGATCATTAAAAGGTGGTTCATTTTCTTTGTAAGATACAAATTGTCCTAAAAGTTGTCGGCAAGAGTTTTCACTGTTACCAAAAGCTTTTCATAAAGTACTTGCATATTTTGCAATTTTTTAAATTGGCCTTGTTTAAAATCGTAACCTAATTTATATATTATTAAAAATGATAATTCTACAATAAATAAATGTGGCAGCTTATGCTAAAACAGTGGTCTATTTTTCTTATAAAATTATAAAATTTTAGAATGTTTTTTGTACTTTTTTTTTCATAGTTAGGTTTGAGTTTAGGGTAGTATTATTAATAAAGAGTATATGTAAATTTTAGTCGATATTATAGATCCAAATAGAATCTCTAAATTTCAGCATTAGCTAATTTTAGTATAAGCTGCAATAATAAATATATATAATTTATAAAATATACCTTTAAATTTTGGTTGCAAAAAAGTAAGCTAACTGATATATATTATCATTAAATTCCAAAAGCCGTCTATTAATAGAGGTGATACAATGTCTTCGAAAAGTAGTATGCTGATCTTGAGGCATCTGATAAATTGTAGCTGCCAATTTTATTAAATAGATAAAACAGTCTGCAAGTGTAGACTCCTGACTTTCAAGTTGAATAATGGATTCTTTAATAGGCCATAAAATTGTAGATATAAAATCTAAATCATCATAAAATCCTCCTTTATTTAAAATCGAATATACTTTATCATTTGAAATAACATCTGGGTTATGTTCTAAAATCTTTAAACATAAAATAAAGTTAGTTTCAATTTTAGTTTAGTTTAAATTTCTTGCTGCATTAAATTTTAATGTCAAGTATTTAATGAAGTTATAATTGTTTAATGTAAATATAAATTAACTTACTCAAACAAATGCAACTTTCAGATGTAGAATAGAACAAATAGCATCATAATAACTTGACCAATGAGTTGCTACAAATCATTTAATACCTCCACCTACTATGCTATTAATTTGAATTTTATTTTCAAGAGCTGAATTAGCTATATGAGATGATCTAAAAAATTGTGCAACTAATGTTGCTTGAGATAAAACATGTCTAGCAAAAGATTCCTTCATTATATCTTTACAGATAAGATTTAGCTGATAGGCTATACATGACACATTCATAATATGGGAATTTTTGCGTAATTATTCGCCTTGCTGCTACAATATTTGCACTGCTGTTACTAACTATCGCACAAATTTTCTTTGTTCCAATCTGATTAATCATTTTTTCAATTTTTTGTACAAAAAATTCTGCAGTATGTCTTGAATCTGAGTAATCACGTAAAGCATACAAATGCTTTTTTTGATCAGGTGTTAAAACTAAAAAATTCCAAATAGATCGGTCTTGTGGATTTGTCTAACCATCCAGTGCTATAAAAAAATAAATATGAATAATCTTATTATATACCATATTTAAGTTTTAAAATAAAATTTTACACTAAAAAAAAATTAATAACATTTACATACCAAGAGTAATATTACTTTTGGTTTGCAATTCATTTTCTATTTTTGCTTCTACTTTGATTAATTGATTATTAAAAATTCTTCCTGCAAGTGTTTTAGAACTTGAAATTTCAAAACCTGGCTTAAGATTCTAGATCCATATACGAACAATTTCATTTTTAGCAACGTTAAATGAAATACCCGCAAGGCACATGCCATTTTTCAATTGTTCTTGTCTTTTTGAGGATAGTTCTTGATTTTCAACATATCTAAGAAGATCTTCTTTATTTTTAGAATCAGTTTTTTGTTTCTTATTTGCATCTTGATTTTCATCTTCCTTCATTAATTGTTTAAAATAAAACAATTAGGTATCTGTTGAAGCATTAGGGCAATTGTGTGCAATGTGCAATTTAAAAGTTGATAAATCTCCACACTGCCATGTTTGTAGACAGTACTTGCAACTAGCTGAATAATGTCTGCCTTTTTTTTTCTATTTGGTTAAAATGATCCCAAACGGGATTAAAAGATCTACTAGGTGTCTTTTGTTGTTTACTACAACTGGCTATTTCAGAACTAGAAGCCAAAATAAATTCTTTATCAATATCGTTAGATAATATTTTTGAAAAAAAAATTATCATTATATAAAATCTAAATGTAAAAAAAAATTTATGTTGATTATTATCGTTATTAAAACTGCTTAAGTTACCTAATCAGTATAGACAAATCGGTTCATTAGCTCTATTGATTAATCAGTTTTTACTATACTAAATATATGAGCCAATTGTGCCACTTTGTATCTTTATCGATTGGTAAACCCAGATACATATTATATAGATGTTAGATATATAATAAACTGAATTACCTTGGTAAATAATAATTGCTGGAATGTTTGTCATAACCTTTTTACTAATACTGCCAAGATGAACATCCATTTTAACAGACTTTTGATAATATTCAAATACTATTCAGCTGTTTTTTTTTGGTATAATATTCAACATTAAATGGACTATTAGTATTCATTACATTGAATGTTAAAATTGATTTTCAAATGATATGTTTTACATTCAGTTCATCAATCCTATTTCATTAATAAATAACAAATTCAAATCTGAATACTCAATTAAAACTAATTATATTAACAAAATTCTAATGATAAATAAATATCCTATTTTTTTCTTTTTTACTTTAATTGCTTACTATAATAATTCTGTAAATTTCTGATAATATTCGAATGTTTGTCTTTTTTACTACCAACTTCTCTATAATAATCAGATTTCATAATAAGTAAATGATTATTGTTTTTTTTTTCTAATTTTAATATCTTTCTTAGCAGCAATATCCAATATTAAATGAACTTTAAGTATTTTTTATATTAAATCTTCACTAAATTTCAACTGTTTTTCATTTAAATTCTTCATATATATTCTATTATAATTTGTCTCCCACTCCAATTCCTTATATGCATTCGTTTTTCACTTCAATTCCTCATATACATTTATCTTCTACTCTAATTCCTTATATGCATTCGTCTTCTACTCCAATTCCTCAATTATTATTTGTCTTCTTCATATGCATTCTATTATCATTCGTCTTCCACTCCAATTTCTCATATACATTCTATTATCATTTGTCATCTACTCCAATTTTTCATATACATTCTATTATCATTCATCTTCACCAAATTCCTCATATGCATTCGTCTTCTACTCCAATTCTTCATATACATTCATCTTCCACTCTAATTCCTCATATGCATTCTATTATCATTCTGATATTAACAAATTTTTATAAAATTTGAATGTTTATGTTTATCTTTGTCATTTATTATTTCTTTAAAATAATAAAGCCTAAAATTTAATGTTCTATGAATGTCTTATACTCATTCTTGTTCGTTACAATAACCCATTTTAATAATGTTCAAATATCTCATGTTCATCCTAATTTCTTCTCAATAACAACATTTATGATTACATCTATTTTCTTTATAATAAAAACACTATCATATAGATAGTAAGCAAGTAGACCTCTGTCTTCTTAAAAATTTAGTTTTGATTTGTCTTATTTGTCTTATAACAATAACACAGTATTATTATTTTCCTTCGGCTACAATATACTAACGACACCTTTATTACCTAGCAACTTATGCTTTCAATCACATCCCATGGTTAGTTATGTAGCAAGGTTTGTATTTATTCTATATTAATTGTAAAAAAGAATTTAGCTCATTAACCTTATATTTTATACTTAACGTTATATATAATTTTTGACTATCGCACATTTTACTATATTTTACTACAATATATGATTACAAATATGCACTTATTTGATAAACAAATAAACTTCACATACATAAACTTTACTGATCTGACCGATATATCTTTATAACATACCAGAGTTCTGTTGCATAGAATAAGAGAACAACAAGCATATTGGAGATAAGCTAAATTCAGTAGTAACTATTTTAAGTTTTAGCGTATGCATAATACAGCTCCTATTAAGTACGTACATATTATCTTTGATGAATTATTTCTATGACCATCATTAATAATTTAAGAAATATGCAACAGAAATTGGGGTATATAGTAAATTAGTATGGTATGTGAAACGCAAATTGAGACAGACATATGAAAATCCTAATAATATTATACATACATACGGTTTGTAAAAGAAACAATTTTTTCAAAGCAAAGTTAATTTTCCTATAACCTCACATAAAAAAAAAAACATTACTTACACTTGTTCTAATCCTAAACATTAAAAAAGGGTTTATCTGTAAAGAATTAGGTTTACTCTTTCATTTGGCATAAGGATGTGACGAATCATTAGTATGGCGAGTAAGCATTAGTTAAATAATTATATTAAATAATGCATCTAATGATTCATCACATCCTTGTGCCAAATGGATAATGGATTCATAAAACTTAATTTTACAAACTTATGTAAACCATTCATTCAATTTTCATATGTCAATACATATTTGTACATTTGTATAATACTATATTACTAATACCTTGAAAATTAAGGTTTTTAAATTTCCTGCACTGTACATATATACATATGTACATATATTGTAAAGGTAAAATTGGTACTGAAACTGATAGTAATATGTAACTATATAGCAACTAATAGCAACTAAAATATTATTATAGTCTGGTTAATTAGGTTTTTAGTTTAGAACTCTAAATTATGTTGCAAAAAGCTCTGATTTGAAATTACAAAATTAGACTTTATATGAATTTTACTTTTTAAAAAGAATTAACAAAGTAAAACACTTTATAGTATTTAATTTAATTAACTTAATTTATTCAAGATAAAAGGTTTATATCTTTATATATATATTGGTTATTATAGAAATTTTTAATATATATTTCTATTTATTATATCTGCCAAATCTAGTAACCAATTTCACTTTATACATATACTGTGTATACTATATTATATATTATTAATTGTTACATATATTAATAATTATTACATATATTCATAATTATTATATATATTTAATAATTATTATATATATTAATAATTATTACATATATTAATAATTATTATATAAATTTAATAATTATTATATATCCTAGGTGAGTCTTTGACCACTCTAGTAGGTTTAGGTCGCAGATAAATTTTTTCCTGTCTGAGCTTTTATTCTTGCA